TGATGAAGGCGAAGATCAGCACGGCAGACAGGCCCTTGTTCTTGATCAGCTTCCTTAGTCTCCCTGTCAACAGCCGTGTGTTGAAGCTGAGCGTCTTAGCAAAATGCCTCAGCTACGGCTATCGCACGTGATGGCTGCAGGCAAGCTACCATGAAGACTTTACGCTTGACAAGTATGATGCCGGGGCCACCTTCTTGGGTTCCTTGACGCACCAAAGGCTTAGAGGGATAAAGGCGGTCGCGATCACGAAGCACACGGCCATCAGGCTTCGGAAGGACATGCCCCAGTCGAACGTGCCCAAGTACTCCTGGCCGCATCTCAAAAGCAAACTCTCCTTCTATACCTCCGGCATTCTAATAGAATGCTGTTCTGGGGGGGAGTGTTTTCTTGAGAAGCCTCTCCTTGCCGTTCATGAACACACCGACAAAACCGGCAGAAGCCAGGGAACCTGCCATGGTGATCATGGTGAACTCCGCTTTCATCTTCCCTCGGGACTCCATTGGCTCGCGCTGGGAATACTCCTGGGTAAGGGTTTAAGGTTTAATTAGGGCCGTTGAGGAACTTAAGCTACGTAAAGTTACCATATTTCTGGATACACGACAAAGAATGGAGTCTCCTCCGCATTTTTGCAACTCAATTTGGTGGTCTGACAAAAGTAGGGGCCTCAATTTTGAATTCCAATCTACTATAATCCTTTTTATAGGGATTACAAAGTAACCCAAATGTTGGGAAATCCCGATTCCGCCTTTTTTGCTTCTGGACTCCCGCGGGCTCAGCCAGACCCAAGAAAACAAACAAACCTAAGCCACCACTGGTTATTAACAGCAGCACAGAATCCAACAACAGGCCCTCACCTGCCACACACCCCATCTGAATGCCGGCGACAAGGAGGACCATCGGGAACACATACCTGGGATTTAGCCTCTACGTAGGGTGGAATGGGGGTTATGTTGGTTTAGGGTTTAGGATTTGGGGTTTAGGGTTGAGGGTAGCGCGGCTCCGTATTCGCCTGAGGACGGAGAATCTAAATGGAAACGAACAGGACAATTAAATGGAACCTTAGGGGTTATAGGGATATATAAGGGCTATATGGGGTCCTAGGACAATGGAAAATCAAATGACATGGAAGTGCCGCTGAGTTACCAATTCTTCAAAGAATGGATCTCGGGGTTGCAGGGTGGCGACATGATGTCGTAGCTGCCATCTGGATTCTGGCAGAAATACCTGTAGCGCCCTATAATTAATCCCTTCATAATTTCACAATTCCTTAGGGGTCTA